TCATCAGGTGATCAGCCTATTGGTGATGAGTCCCTCCCTAGGTAGATCATCAGAAAGTAAACATTATTTATTGCTGGGACCATAGTCTAAGCCAGAAAGATTCTAAGTCCACAGTCCATGAATTTCTCTTTAAAAATATTTTGATAACTATATTTCAATATAATTAATTGTATATATATTCCTATATATTTAAAAAACATGATTCTGAGAAGGGTGTCTGTATGGTCCTTCAGACAGCAAGAACCACTGCTCTAAGCCCTTCCAGAATGGGAGAGCCTGCCATAGTGTGTGCTCCACTGGTGTCATCTTTAAGAGCCCAGGGCACCTCCATGCTGCAGAGAGGCATCCATGCAGGGCTTTGTGAAAGGGCAAAGAGTGGGGACAAAGATGAGATGACTTGATTCCTTCTCTCAAGGAATGTTCAGGCTAGTAGCAGAATATGACATATATACATAAATAACAAGGTAGCATCTGTGCCCTGCCTACATATACTTTGGGGCAAGCACAGTGAAGGAGAGTGAGCATAATAAAGAAGGCTAATGGCTGAAGATTTTGAAAGGAACTGAGCTTTGATGCAGGAAAATGCCATTTTAATTACCACCGTGTACAATGTGTTTTGTAAGGGACAAGATCTGACTGGTTGATACAGGCTTAGAATAATGTAAGAACATCAATACTACTTTCAAAGGGTTGGAACCAAGAGTGAGTGACAACTGTATTGTGTCATTTATCTTTAATTTCGAAGAGAACCAATGCTATCACATGGCGATATCTTGACTTGCACATGAATTGGATTTAAGTGATGCAGAGTTGCATAGTCATCAGCCTCACTGCCTCTTCCAGAGTCATCAAAGTCCAGTGGCAAGAGAAAAGTCAGAACGAGTGGTGATGAGTGGGGAGGCACTGGGTGGCCATAGCATCTTCCATGTCTGACCAAGCTCTAAGCACTACCCAAGTCCTACTTCAGTTACCTTCATGGCCATTGGAACAAATTGTTCTTATCTGCCCGTTCCGCTGGGGGAAGTCTTCACATGAGTAGGGTAGACATCCCCTTAACTCACCCATGGGTTTGAGGCCTTTTGGTTACCCTGAACCTTGTTTAACCCATCTGTAAGGGGTGTGGCCCGTGCACGATGTACAGCTTCTTGAAGTCACAGCTTCGTTAGTTGTTGTCCTTCATTCTCAAAGAGGACCAATATGACATCACTATGTTAAAAGTCAAGTTACAGTGTGTAAGACTGAGGCTGATCAGACCAATATGAGCTCAGAATATTCTACCACAGTTCAGACACAAGTAGTTGGTGTGAACATTTGGGGTGGATTCTCTAAATCTGTGCATCTCGTGTTTCTTTTGAGCTACTTCAATTCAACTTTGCTCATAGAGCACAGTACCTTCTCTGATGACGGCATGCCATGCTGGGCAGTTCTGTATCAGGGTTTCCCATCTTATGTAATCAGTTCCAAAGTTCTTAAGAGAGAGCTTGAGAGTGTCCTTGTATCACTTCTTCTGACCCCCATGTAAATGCTTGCCTTGTGTGAGTTCTCCACAAAATATATTTTTAGGCAAGTGTATGTTTGGCATTTGAACAACGTGGCCAGCCCATCAGAGTTGTACTTTGCAATAGAATTTGAATGCTTGGCAATATAGTTGGAGAAAGAACCTCAGTGTCTGGTGCCTTATCCTGCCAGGTGATCTTCAGAATCTTCCTAAAGCAATTCAAATGGAAGCGATTCAGTTTCCTGGCATGGCACTGGTATACTGTCCAGGTTTCACAGGCATACAACAGTGAGGTCAGCACAATGGCTCTGTAGACCTTCAGTTTAGTAGTCAGTAAAATAACTCTTCTCTCCCACACTTTCCTTTGGAGCCTCCCAAACACTGAGCTAGCTCTGGCAATGTGTGCATCAACCTCATTGTCAATGTGCACATCCCTAGAAAGTGTACTGCCAAGGTAAGTGAACTTATCCACAGTATTCAAAACTTCTCCATTTGCTATAATTAATGATTCTATATACAGATGGTGTGAGAGCTGGGTGAAAGGTAGACACCAAAGGCAGATAAACAGCCCTGAAAAAGGCTTGGCATGTCCCCACATCAGAAGTGTTAGTCCTCCCTGAACACCTCATACACCCCAAGTGACAACTATCTGTTTTGAGTACCTCAGAGAGGGACAGGGCATATGCCCCCCATGTGCCCTCTGATGCTGGATAAAGCACATGACAGGTGGGACTGAGTAATTTTGTGATCCATTATTGTTACCACTGGGTAGGACCAATCAGGGTCCATAACCCACTTCCCACACTGTTATAACTATAATATAAAATACAGCACGGCTTTGTCTAAAGCCTTGCCATGGATTTCTGGAGTAGGAATTGTCTTGCCTCTTTTATCTATTATATACTTTAAAACCTGTTGAGATACCATTGATGTTCATCATATGACAAATAATAATATTGCCAATGTAATGATGTTCGATATCATAATTAGCCCTTTGAGCATAATGAGGAAAATTTTTAAGTTTCTTATTAGACAAATAGGAACCTGAAGTTTGAGGTTAGGAAAATACATGCTAGAGCTCAGCACAAGTACTAGTTTACTATTCTAGCAGCATTCAGTATAAATCCATGTTTGGCCCTGTGTACTCAGGAAAAAAAATAGTGGTCTCAGTTAAATATAACAGGGCACCGAAAAGCTTTGCAATATTTAATATAAGTTACAGAATGATTCTGAGTACCTGGTAGTGGATAGATGCCCTGTTCACCTTATCTATTTGTGTTTCAGGGAGCATCAAAATGCCAGAATATTTAACAGTAACTCCTGGGAAAATTAATAAGACATGGAGGCCCTTTGTTTGCATTCCATAAAGGATGATCTTTTTATTTTCTTGCTGCAGGCATGAGGTTTCTGGCTGTGTTCCAGGATGATTCAGCTCTTGCCTAGATGTTCTGTGAATCAGTAACAAACAAAACAGTATAAGTCAGAATTACAATAGCAAGATGCAAGTACAGGCATCCAGAAGCTTGAAAGGATTCTTCCTGTTATGGTGGCCCATTTGGTTAGTTGGCTATGCTATTAATACCAAAGTTATGACCTCATTAACATAACCTATAGCCCGGAGGGGGGCTACCTTTCCACCCTCCTTCCGGGACACTGACTGTTCCCCGTTAACCATAGCCCAGGCATAAATGTATGTTCTAGTCACAAAGAGAATGAGGTAAATAAATGGAGCAGTGTGAGTGAGTGTCTATCTTCACTCCTTGGGCAGTAATTCAGTAGGCATAGCACTTCTAGTCCATACCATATACTTCAGAAGTCTGCTACATAATTCCTTGTCCTTTTTCTTCTCTAATTGTTTATCTCTGCTTTTGTTTGCCCACCTAGATGGCAAGCATGTGCAATTAGGAAGCAAACTGGAATCTGTTTCCAAAAGCCAACTACTTCCCTGCTTTTTAGTATGCTTCCATACTCTTCTGGTTCCTCTCCCCCGACCTTCATTCCTGTTTTGCCATTCCCTGGCTTTCTAGTTCTTTACATTGAGAATAGTATAGAAGAAGGAATGCTAGGCTTGGAGTCAGAAAACCTGGGTTTCAATTGTGGTTTTGTCATATAGGAGGAGGAGGAGGAGCATCCTCTTTGATTCTCAGGTTACGTGTTTGTGACATAGTGCTTTTACACATGACTTTTTAGGGTTTTTGTGAGATAAGTCCTGGGTAAACCTTTCAATGATATATAAGGCTGTACCTAGAACACCCTTCAAATCATAATACTTTAAATGACTGCTTACATTATTTGTGTGGAGGAGCTGACCCTGACTATTGGTTTTCTCAGGGTAGCACTGTGTATTAGGTTGCTTTTTTTTTTAAATCTATTACTGCAGTGGTCTCTAAATTTTTAAAATCATACCTCATCAGTAAAAAACAACTTTTTGAACAGGCATCACCATATATGTAAATTTATTATAAATTGTATATATATACTATTATATTAATATATTATATATATATATTATAAAGCATGCCATATATAAATTTAAATGATGTGATAAAGATTAAATAATATTTTAAGCATACTTTTTATTTTATTTATTGAGTATGCAAACATTTTTACTCTGTAAAATATTATTTGCAATAAAATTTCTTTGTGAGAGCTTTGTGCATTTTAATATTTTGAAAATCTTGGTTTAACACAATACAGTGATTCAAATTTCTGGTTTTAAGTTCAATTTGATAATTGGTTTTAATGACTGTCATAGCTGAAATGGGAAGAATTTATAGATTAAAATTGTCAGAACCCACAAAATACCACTTTAAAGATGATTGAATAAGTAGTAAATGAAGTACGGGTTTACTGTTTTTCTTATTATATACAGAAGTTTTCTTCTCTAACCCTGAACAAACTTGTAAAAAAATCATTATTTCATAGAAATCCCACCTCCTTTACCTTTCCAGATTGTTAGTACTTTGCCTCCAGCCTTCCCTACCTCTAATTACTTTTTTAAAAAATGTATTTCCCATTTACTTACATTCCTTGTTTTCCCTCAGTAGACTATAACAGGTGTTTGGCTTTTGTCTTTGTAACCACAATACAGGCATACCTTGGAGATTTAGGGTTCAGTTTCAAACCACTGCAATAAAGCAAGTATTACCCAAAAAAGCAAGTCACAAAATTTTTTTGGTTTCCCAGTGCAAAGAAAAGTTATTTTTACTCTATACTGTGGCCTACTAAGTGTGCAGTAGTATTGTCTAAAAAACCATACCTTAATTTATTGCTAAAAAATGCTAACCATCATCTGAGCCTTCAGTGCATCATAATCATTTTGCTGATGGAGAGTCTTACCTCAATGTTGATGGCTGCTGACTGATCAGGGTGATGCTTGCTGAGGGTTGGGGTGGCTGTGGCTCTTTCTTCAAGTAAGACAACAATGAAGTTTGCCCCATGGATTGACTCTTCCTTTCACTTTAACACTTGGAGGCCATTGTAGGGTTATTAATCAACCTAATTTCAATATTATTGTGTCTCAGGGAATAGGGAGGCCTGAGGAGAGGGAGAGAAATAGGGAAAAGCTTGTCAGTAGAGCAGTCAGAATGTACACATTTATGATTATACGAACATAATTCATGACACTCCAAAACCCTTACAATGATGACATCAAAGATCACAGATCACAATAACAGATATAATAATGATGAAAAATCTGAAATATTGTGAGAATTACCAAAATGTGAAATAGAAACCCAAAGTAAGCACATGCTAATGGGAAAATGGCACCAACAGACTTGCTGGAAGCAGGGTTGCCACAAACCTTCAATCTGTAAAAAAAAAAAAAAAAGACAAAACCAAACAAAAACCCCCAAACAACAAAACACTATCTGTGAAGCACAATGAGGTGTGCCTGCATCTAACTCATAGTAGGTGCTGAGTAAATGCTTGTTGAATTGAGTTCATGTATCTCTCCTTGTATTTCCCCTTCGCTGTTATAGAGAAGCCCTTGTGTACATGCATATATTAGGAAATAGATGACCATTAACACCAAGGAATTATCAGTTTCCACCCTGTTTATAAAGGGCAGGCTTGTGATAGATCAAACCAACAGGGACATTGCTCTGTACAGTTTCCACTTCCTGAATGTTGTACCTTTCCAATCTACTTGGAACAGACAGCCATCGTATTTTGCAGATAAAACCACCGGGCCCAACTTTTTTTTTTTTAAGTAGATGAAGCTCTTTAGAGTGAGTGGAGTGCAGGAAGGATAAACAGAAGTAAAGGGAAAGGTGATTCCTTGGCAATCAAGGGGAAGGAGATTTGGGAAAACCAAAGACGTCCCATTTTAGCTCAAATCTACTTTCACCAGTACTTACTTCTCCCTTCAAATGAGACTCAACCTCTTATCACTTCACTTCCATAATCCACCTTTTGTCTTCACTTCCCTGAAGAAGGACTTACTGTATCTCTCCCACGTGGGCTACCAGGAAGGCAGGCCTAGCCCAGTCTGGTCCCATCCAGTCTAGCCCAGCCCCAGGTATCCTGTGGCCCAGCTCCCTGTTCCCTGGGCATTGTGCTGAGGCAGTGAGAGCGAGAATGGAAATGAGAATGGGAGGAGGGTGCTGGGTTTGGGGCCCTTTGGGGCCCCATAGGCCAGTAGGGATGGGTAAGGACAGTTCTGTTTAGTGAGGGGCTGGACCACTTACCTTCACCATCTAGAGCTGCTGTTGCCCAGGCATTCAGATAGTATAAAGGCTTACTTATATTCCAAACTTACCTGGGTTTCTAGAGATGTACAGTCCTGCTATAAATTATTAAAGGTTTAGCACATGACAGTCTGACATACCAATTGAATTTTGATCCATAAATAAACTGCAGTTAATACATAAGTATTAGTAAAGCTTTCTATTTGGTTTTAGATAAAAAATAGAAATTGAAGTTCTAATACTTTCTTCTAACAGCCCTATTTTGAAGCCCAGAACATTTAGCATAGTACTGGGTATCTAGGAGGTCCTCTTTAAATATTTGTTAATTACCTGGTTGGAAAGATTACTTTGCTGAATGGTGTTCTCTAGTTTCATTTTAGCTTAGGAAGAGAACTGTTCTTTAGCTGTTGTCAGATGACATTGATACAGACTTTTTAAGAATTTACTAAGATCTTTTCTTTGAGTGTTTTATATGGCTCTCTGTGCTGAAGACACATGGTATTCTAGGAATCAGCTTAAGTCAATATTACTTTGTAAGCTCTGCCAACTTAGTGTTTCTTCCATAAGGTTAAAGATAAATTGTACAAATGTATAGGTGGTCAAGCAGCTGGGAAAAGAAGACGTGGTCCCCAAGGGTCATCCTGTATCTGTGAAACATGGAAATAGTAGTATGTCTGTTAGATAAGCTATTAAAATTCCTTCTGGCAAAGGCAGGATTTGCGCAGTTCTATTCAGTGTTGAAGATATACAGATATCTATCACATAGCCTGTAGAAAAACTAAAATTGCCCCAAAGAGGAAATTGTCCAGCCACAAGGTTGGTTTTTCTTCATATCCTAAAGTCAGAACTACAAACAGGGCAGGGCAATGTGGGCTTTGTCCCAGAGCACAGAAATTTAGGGGTACCAATAGCAACACCTTCCCTCACTAGCAGTAACACTTCAAAGGAGTTTCTTCCTCACTTGGTCCCACCCTCAGTGACCTTTCTCTTTCTGAGATACACTTCTTCCCCTTATTTTCTGTGTTCCTGGCTCAGACAACCCAGCCTCATTCAAGTGCATCCTCTTCCACCACCCCCACCCCCACCCCCACTCCCAATAGTCGTTTTAGAGTAGACCAACTAAAAACTTAGCAGTCTCCTTGTCCCTTTCTGCTCCCAGGCTTCCACTTCTTAGATAGGCCTCCTTGCCACATTTGAAAAAATTCCTGATTATAGACTGCTTAAAGTTAACTTTACCTTTAAAATCCAATCTGTTGCTACAGTCTCACTACATTCCAATCTACTAGGTGGAAGTCTGTCATTCTAATTGTCTTGGTTAAACAAAGGCATCATTCCAAGTGACATTTGAATGAAAAAGGCCATTTGGATTGTATCGTCCTGAGACTCGGTTTTTTCTACAGCGTGTTGCATCAATTAGATGTGACAACTGTGCTCACTTTTGGATGGACAGTGGTGGAGGGCATATTTTTCTCATCATGTTGGGATCTACTTCCAAGAAAAGCAAAGTATTCATTGAGGGGGAGGTGAAGGAGGAGGAGGAAATAAGCTCTGACCAGCCATGACTCCAAAGGACTGATGATGAAGTATGCTGCCCAACTCTTGATAAAGGGGCAGATGGATTCAAGGTGCAGAATGAGGGGTATATTTTTGGTCATAACGTGTGTGTGTGTGTGTGTGTGTGTGTGTGAAAACACTATACTTATATGCTACAAGGTTTGTATTTTTATTTTTTTATTGGAGGGAAGGTTTAGTAGGGAGGAGGAGGCTATTGATTGAAGCATTTTTTTTTTTAGTGAGGCAACTGGGGTTAAGTGACTGGCCCAGGGTCACACAGCTAGTGAGTGTTATGTGTCTAAGGCTGCATTTGAACTCAGGTCCTCCTGAACTGGTGCTCTATCCACTGTGCCACCCAGCTGCCCCGAAGCATTTTTTAAAATGCACAAAAGAGAGCAGAAGGAAGTTTAGAGGAAAAAACACAGATGATCAGGTCAGCTTAGAAAGAAAAAGATTGAATTCACGATATTACTTTTAAAAGTAAGTGGTATGTAACAGATTTATGGTTTACCTATAATCATCTTTTTATCTTTTATTTCTTATAAGAATTTTTTGGGGGCCTATTTTTTAGTAGTTGATAAATTCAGAATAAAAAATAAAATAAAATAAACATGTAAAGTCTGTAGTATAAGTCCTTGTTTCTACATGTACTTCCAAGAACACGTGGTATGCTAGCACCACTGTACTTCCCCACAAGCACAGACCTCTTTGAAATGGTCGGCAGTCTAGCGGTCCTCTTGGTAAGGCTTGGACTAACTGCTTTGTGAGGGGAAATAAGTCACTAAAGACCCAATAGTTGTTGCTGTTGTTTAATCATTTCAATCGTGTCCAACTCTTTGTGACCCCTTTTTGGTGTTTTCTTGGCAAAGGGAGTGGTTTGCCATTTCCTTCTCTAGCTCATTTTAAAGATGAGGAAACTGAGACAAGAATGGTTAAGTGACTTGACCAGGGTCATATAGCTACTCAGTGTCTGAGGTCAGATTTGAACTCAGGTCTTCCTGACTTGAGGACCTACTGTCTGTGCACTCTGCCACCTAAACCCAGGGAGCTGTATTTCTTCTGAGCTCAGAAAAGAGAAAGCTAACAACAGCAACAAAACAATGCAAGGTCAGAACCAGAGGGTGGAGTTTTCTGCTATAGCAGGGATTTAAAGGATTTCGTTTCAGTTCTGATGGGAAGGCTGGGAAGAAATACAATTTCCAGAGTTTCACTAGAGATTTAGGTCCCCTAACAAGGCAGCCACTTAAAGCTTTGCCAGAAGCTTTGTTAAATTAGAAACATACCTGTCAGGATTCCTTGAGGTCGCTGATCCAGGTACCCCTTTCCCTATTTTTAATATCCAGCAAGTCTTTATTAAGCATTTGCAATATTCAAGTCCCTGTACTAATGCCTGAATATATTTCATGCTGGTACTGTAAATTCCAGATGGAGTCTACTCCAGAAACCAACAGGTATTCCTGCTTTTTTGTTCTTTCCCCCAATTAATAGCAGCTTCACACTTGCTCCACTGATCTTCTTATGAGGGGCAGATAAGTGGCGAGGTGGATAGAACACCGGCCCAGGAGTCAGGAGGACCTGAGTTCAAATGCGGCCTCAGACACACGACACTCACTAGCTGTGTGACTCAGGGCAAGTCAGCTTACCCCCATTGCCTAGCAAAAACAAAACAAAACAAACAAACAAATCTTCTTATGAATATTCACTATATAATGACTCCATGCTGGAGATATTAGGCAATTTTAATTTTACTTTAACAGATGGAGAAACTGAGGTACAGAAGGTTTATGTGATCTCCAGATCAGTGTTACATAATTGGTAGCAGCCAAAGTAGGACTAGTTTCTAGAATTTCTAGCTTTGGGAGAGCTAATGTAGTATGGTGAAAAAGAATGCTAGATTTCTAGTCAAGAGAGATCTGGATTCAGATCTCATTTCTGACACATACTAGTTGTGAGACTGGGCAAATCACTTAACCTTTCTAAACTTCAGTTTTCTTGCAATGTAAACCTCTCAGGTTTGTTACAAGTGTAATGGCCTTATCCCTGGAAGGCTAGGTTGGTCCCTGAAAGGGCAACCTTGTGATGCTGAGAATGAGTTATTCTTGGAAGTTAGCTTGTACCTTTTGCCATTTGGAATATTGTATTTCAAGATATTTTCTCCTTTATTGTGGTAGCTGCCAAATCTTGTATGAGCCTGACTATGGTTCCTTAGTACTTGAAATCTAGAATATTTGCAGTTTTTTGTTTTTTTATTTGATCTGGAAGTTCTGGATTCTGACCGTGATGTTTTTGGGAGTTTTCATCTTGGGATTTTTTTTTAAAGGAGGTGACTTATAAAGTCTTTCTGTTTTTACTTTGCTTCTTGGTTCTAAAAGGTCTGGGCTACTTTATTCATATTTATTAGAATATGGTATCTAGACTTTTTTTTGCAGGGTTTATGATATTCAGGTAATGCTATGATTTTTAGATTTTTTCTCCTTGACATATTTTATCAATTGTTTCTGATATGATATCTTATATTTTCATATTTTTTTCCAGTCTTTTTCCTTTGCTTTAATTTTTTTTGTCTGATGGAGTCACTAACTTATGTTTGGTCCATTCTAATTTTTAGAGAGTACGTTACTTGGGTAAGGTTTTATGTTTCTTTTATGAAGTTGTTAATTCCCCTTCCTAGTCTTTCTGATGATATTGTCATTTCTTTTCCAATTCATTCCTCTAGTGATCTGATTTCATTTACAATTTTTTTTAAATCTCTTGCTTCATTTATTCAAGGAAGTATAGTTAACCTTCCAGCCACACTGTATTTTTCTTTGAGGCTTTGCTTCTAAATATGGAGTTATTATCTTTTTCCAATTTTGTGTTTTGGATATCCTGGTTTCCATAATAGCTCTTCAAAAATATCTTTAAAAATGAATCATTATTCAATTAAAAAATTGGGACTTTGTGTTAACCTTTGTACTTTTTTGGGCTTCTCTATTCTTTAGGGTCCTGTGCCTGCTTTCTCCAGTTTTTGAGTATTGTATTTTTCAAAGATTTCAGAGGCTCCTCGTGCTGGGTACCTGCAAATTTTCAGTGAAACCTCAGTGGTCTGATTGAGGGTGAATCTGATCAATTCTGTGTCTGAACTTAGCAACATTATGTTTCAAATTTTGGTTTAGCAAAACAGACATGTAGTTGGACCTCCAGTAGACAATGGCCAGTAGACTGGCCCTAGCTCCTGTTGCTCTGATGGAAGGCTCTATAGTTTCAGAACAATGGAATTCAAGATTCACTGTTGGTCTGCTTTCCTTATTTTGATTACTTAGCTGCAAATCCTAGCTCAGATCTGTGAACTAAATTTGAGGCCCTGCAATAGGATCAGAGCCACCCTTCTGCTGCTCACTTATGCTCTTTTCCCAGTACATAGCCCAAGTCATGGTTTGCACTGGATCTGTGACCATTCCTTGCCCTAGTAGGAAGGTACAGAAAGTCTCAATCCATAATGGATTCATGTCCCACCTTTGGAATAAGAGTGACAAAGCCACCTGATGGATGCCCTTCTATCTCCCTGCAATGTATATAGCCTCAGGTTGCATTTGCTGTATCTGAGATCCTAACCCTTTCTCCAATCATTGTCCACACATACCCAACCCCCAGCCTAGTCTCATGGTAGAAGACTCTGTGAGGATGTCCCTGGCTAGATCACTTCCCCATTCCCTGTAGACTATGTCCCAATGCTAACCTTGGCTTGAAAAATGATCTGTCATGGTTTCTCCATGGATCTTCCTATTACTGTTTGGTCTGGTGCTCTTCCTTAGTCTTTTTCAACTAGTTGCGAGAGCTGGGCTATACTACTTCCACTTATTCCACAATCTTTGCTAACCATAGTTTAAAATTTTAAATTATATTACACGTGAAAAGGTAGCAACAAAATTGTTCTTTTCGATTGTATCCACTTCTGAACATCTTTTTATTAAGAAATAGTCTTTTGCAGTGGTATGTATCTTGGGATCATTGGAAGTAATGCACAATTTTCCTAAATGCAATGCAAGCCACTTTCTTTTTCCTGTACCTTTCTGGGGACCAGTTCATTGTCTATTTTATTTTCTTCTCTGAGATAGATAATGAGACAAACAAATAGACACAAACAGACACATGGATTAATGGATATTTGCTGATAATCTGACAGGTTGTTTATACAGCTACCTCTCAAAATCTGGGCAAAATACATTTTTCACCTGTTGTTTTTCCAGTGTGGATGGTGAGACTAATTTCATTCATGTTTCTGTGTACTTATCTTCCTCTGTGGAATGTTCTGAAATTTAGTGCAGTTCGTGCATTATCATCTGGAAGTAGGAACATTTAGAGAATCATACCATCAATTTGAAATCTTTTAAAAAATTTTTGTAAGTAAAGCCTTAAAAATATTTAGTCTATGCATCTGTATTATGTCTGTATTCTCTCACCATACCTTTAGTGTAAAGTCTCACAATGATAGCTATATGGTAGGAAATGATAAACCTGGGTTTAAATCTAAGTTCTAACACTTCTTACTCTTTGAATCAAATGAAATAATATTGGTAAAGCACTTAGCAAAAATGGTGGATTAGAGGCAACTCAGCTGAGCTCTTTCAACGTTTCCCTCCAAACAACTTTAAAATAACAACTCAAACCAAATTTTGGAGTGGCAGAGCCAACAAAAGATCAGGGCAAGACATTTTCCCGTCCTAAGAAAACTTAAGAGGT